TATATCCCTGAACCTTAAACAGTCAGAATACACATCATAGATCAAAGTTTCTCAAACTGTCATATGTGCATTGATGGCATGAGGAAGCTAAAGTATCTCTGTACACGTACACATCCTGAACGACTCATAAGCTTGTCACTCTATGTACCTCCATGTAACTGATAAGAACTCCTAGGAGGACCCCAAAACGCTTAGATAACCCACAGAAATTAAAGGTAAGGACACATACATTATAGACATGTGGATAGATATAACCAGAAACAAGAATTCGGGGTTATCGCCATATCATGTCACACACACACACACCCATTTCCTCTCCACACACAAAGCAAGGAGGTTGCAGAGAAAAGGACTGTTACAATTATAAATAGCTCAGTTGTTAAACATACGGAAATAAATTTTCTTCTAAAATTGCTTTATAATCTAGTGTGCCATTTTGTTCAAGAGGAGATCAGGAACAGCTGCCTCTGCAGTAAAAGACAGTGGGGGAGAACTGGGGGTGTTACAGAGCTGAGAGTTATTTCCGATAACCACTGCAGTTGAATATAACTCCTTATACCTTAGTGGTATTGAGCAAGCTACAGTTGTTCTGCGTGGCTAGGGCATACCAAAAAACAAGTTAAGGGCACTAAAAACTAACATATTCTATTAAAATAAACCCATCTGTGCATTTACTGCTGATGGTGAGCTATTTCACACCTCTGTCTTCATGGTGCAAATCTACAACACTTCCTACAACAAAGAATTGAAGACCACTGGGTGGCTAAGTAGTTTATGGTTGGTTGGTCTACCGTTGTTTTGTTTTTAATATATAATCAATGTTTACATGTACCTCCATTGTCAAGAATTTCTTAGTAACATTGGAAAGGGAAAAATAGGGTGTCTTAAACAAAGATTTTTCTATTTAAAAATAACCCAATTGTTCTCCCACAATTCTGCTTTGGATCATGCTTTCCTGAAACAACAGAGAAGACGTGCAAGCAGAGATAGAATTACGTTCTCCCCATCTAGAAACATCAATCCAACTCACTTTTTGACTGTTATTGTCTTAGTCATGGTCATGCAATGTACAACTATTATATTGGACAGAAGGTGGTAGAGCTGGTGTCTGGGCTGACAAGTGCTTGGGGCATGTATAGGGAGGTGTTAGAAAAGAAAACTACATTTGCAGCAAGGAACATTACAACAAACTAAAACGCCAACACACATCCCTATCTTCAAAGAGTGCATGGAAGAATTCAATCCTCTTTGCTGAAGGATCAATAAGCATCCTCTGTACCATCATCAGTCATCTCACAGACAGTACTGACATGTCTACAAAAGACAGAACGAAGGAGAAAAGAAGCAGCATGTGGAAGGAAGAAAGGGACAATTTAGAAACAACATCTTGGTTAAACATCAGCTCCAGTGACAAGAGTAGAAAGTAACAGAAGGAGAACAAGCTAAAAACAGTCATGCCCTTCAGAGGACAAAATCACATTCTTTAATTGCTCAGAAGGCTTTCAAAATGAGATGTCTACCTTCAGCAGAGTGAAGATTAATCTTCATGCAACAGTTTGTATGATGAGTTGTTATATGTCAGGAACTGCAATTTTAGCTACAGTAGTTGATGGAATCAAATCAGTATTTCAAGCAAACAAGGGGAATGAAATGTATTTACTGTGAGTTAAAATGATCCAGATTATTATACTGAGCTTGTAAAACTCTATTATGGAGACATGTAACAGCAAAAACCGTAACAGCTTCTTTGTTATTTTTCCTTCAGGGATAACTCATTAACTGGCTGCCTTTCCCTGTTCAGATAGCTGTGAGATTCTAGTATGGTTTTCAGACTCTTTAGGGATGCAAAAATGCTTTCAGTCCCCTGTGGGCAGGTAATGGATGTTAAGTAGAGTTTTCTGGAATTAAGTGGTAGGTATTCTACCAAAGCCCAGATGCGTAAATTAAGTCTCTCGCAAGCATCTTGTGAGACGTTCATGTACCTGAGAGCTACAAGCATGCTGTAGAGAGCTAACCCTATTTACAGTAATAGGTCTTCCAATATAAGTGTTCTTGTATTTTACTAGTGTGCAAGTAATATCTGCATTAAATTTTAAATTCAGACTGACAAAATTTCAGTTATCCACCTGCCATGGAAACGTACATCCCAGCCCCAGTCACTTTCTTTGCTGACGAAAGGAGAGGCGCTTCTCCTCCCTCCACACTTCCCTCCTCCGCTTTAGCCAAGTAACTTTCAGTGGCAATGCTCCATGAAATGATGTGCTGCTAACGACATAGACAGTATTTTTTTTTCATAATTTTTTTTAGCATATGATAAAGTCAGCAAGCCCCAATCCATACATCTGCCACCAGAAAAACATTTAAAGTTTATCCAGTTAGAGATGTCAGAAATACAATTACAGTGGCTATATGCTCTTCTTAAAAGGAAAATTTACATGATTTTCCAGCTTCCTTCCCCTTAAACTTAAGTTATGTGATACTCTGTAACCATGCAGCTTGATGCCTCAGTTTCCAGAAAAGTTGCAAGTATTTCCCAGTAAGTCACAAGAAAAATGTGGACATTAGCTCTATACTCAGTGAAGCACAGGGATTTTCTATTTTTTACTTGGTGAAGTTCAAGGAGCTCCACAGAATATTCAAAACAGTTTGGTTGTTGACTGTTTAGAGAGCACTTCCTGTACATAATTTTCTTCAGTTGTAATTAGCATCACCCAGAATTCCTCAAATCAAGATATAGCCTCCTGAAAACTAAAGGCTGGACAATTCTTATAGAAGACACTTAAGTTATATGTCCAGAGAAGTGGGCTGATGACCATCAGTGTACGCTCTAAGTTATACATCCTTACGCAGGACATTGCTAATAACTGCAAAGGATAAGGTGAGGTATCTTTCCTGATTTATTTCAGGTTGATGGGGATATTATTTGCTTTCTTATATTTTAATGGCAAACCAGTAGTGTACAAGCATTAGTGAGACAGCTAAAGGACAGATAGGAAGAAGAAAGCAGGGGAGGGACTATTCACAAGGGTTTGTAGTGACAGGACGAGGGGTAATGGCTTTAACCTAGAAAAACCATTAGCGGTTAGACATTAGGAAAAAGTTCTTCAATATGAGGGTGATAGTCCACCGGAATAGGCTGCCCAGACAGGTGGTGGAGGATCCTTCCCTGGAGACATTTAAAATCAGCTGGATGAGGCTCTGAGTAGCTTGATCTAGTTGAAGATGTCCCTGCTTATTGCAGGGGGGTTGGATTAAATGACCTTTGGAGATCCCTTCCAGCCCAGACATTCTATGATCCTATGAACTTAATGAAAAAATATCTGGACAGAATACTCCAGTCCAGTTATGTTATATTGTCAAGGTGGCCATGCCAAAACTTGAAAGAGACAAGACTCTTATTGCAAATGACCTGCCAATGCCCCAAAACAATCATTTTAGCTCCTGATGGACAAACGTACTTTTTCAATGAAAACCTCTTAAGCACACATCCAATGCAAATGATCAAATGAGTGTGAAATCTGAAACCAAATCTCAGAGGTCCTAGATCATTTTCTGACATTTTTGATGTTATAATTATGGGGGTTTTTTTTGCAGGTGGCAAACAACATAAATACACGTTTACAGCTGCAGTGATAACATTCTAAAAAGCTGTATATTTTATGTCAGAAGACAAACAGCTCTTAAGGACTGCACAATATATTGTAAACACACACAAAATCTATGTCCATAGTGAGGATGAAAGACAATAGTTCTCCTCAGATAGGAAACTATAAGAAGAACCATTAAGCGAACCAAAACCATGTTTCTGACCTGGCTAGATAGATGTAGGTTCGATATAGCCCAAAGTTTACTTTCAATTTAAAACCTGAATAAAATTCTTCTCTAGTGAGCCATAACCCTCATATGGTTAAAATTCCTCTCAGTCCAGTGATGAAGGCTTTGATTGTTTTAACTATGACCAAAATCCACTAACAGAAACTTCAGGACCTATATTAATATTTAAGCCATTTCAGTTCTTTTGTTGGAAGGAGATCTAGTGAACTGGGAGAATAAGGAGGGGTGAGACTAGAGGAGTGGAAGTGAGACAGTTTAACTATCTTCCAACAGTAGGATAAGCAAAACAATCAAAAGGATTGTCAGAGCTCTCTGTATTACAAAGGGAGTTGAAGCTTTGTTGCACAACAACCAGTCATGCTTGTAATTTAATATGAATAATGAGCCAGATGCATGAACAAGACTTGAATTGTTATCACAAGCAGCCATGTTTCTCATTGATTAATGACTCCATGTGTCACCAAGGAAAGGAACTCCATTTTCAAGTGTGGATTACCATCATCAATGTTGCCAAAGCAGCGCTGTCTACAGTTGACTTACCCCTGAAGGTGGCAATTGAACCACTACATGAGGAAACAAAACAGTGATTATGTGGAAAACTAAAGGCTGTTAAAGAGTGAGGGACCGGGGAAATCATATTTCTTTCCCAAGATAAATGCACCTGTACAAGAATCACATTCAAGGTGAGCGCACATTCTCAGTATCAAAATTGGTTCCTCACTCAGTATCAAATCTGAAGCTAATCGTAAAATCTGGAATGGTTTCATACACTAGTTGAAACTTAACAGAACCAACAGAAAGACACAAGTGTGAGAAACACTTCTTTTACAATAAATAAAATCAACTTGCAGAAGGCATAGTTGAGTATGAAAACAGGTGAATTCTCTCTATATATAGAAAAAAGAATATGTACGTGTATATGGTCAGGTAGATGAGCATACACTCCACATAACTCATCTAAAATGTACACTTGACACTGTGTTTGGTTCTTTTTATTATTGTTTCAGTTTTGTTTGGGGTTTTTGTTGCTGTTTTGCTAGGGTTTCTTTTTTGTTTGATTGGTCTTTTGGTCTTGTTTTAATTTTTTTGTTGTCGTTAATTTATACGGAAGATTTATACAGAATATCCTACCAAAAGCAGCTATAACCTGGCTTCTTCCAACTTACAAGCTTCCCGGAGTTTCTCCTTGTCGTAATGTAGCCCCTCATATTCTTGTAAATTAATCCTGTTCACTCTGATGCGCAGGCGATCTGGGATGGAATGGGGACTGCAAGAAAAGAAGAAAGATTCTTAGATTAAGCGTTCCATGGAAGAGTAAAATTAAAACAAGATATAAAGTGATTTTAATCTTCTCTGGAAGAAGAAAAAGAGCAAGCCTCTTCAGCCCTGGGCCAACTCCTCACAGGCCCATCACTGCATTTAAAGATACAACTACTTAAGCACAATAACATAGACATTTCACCTGAAATGATAAGCAAGATCAAGAATTCAACTTGCTGCTGGCAGTGTGGTCTGGAATTGCGAAGTTTTTTCTGAGTTCTCTGTAACGCTACCACTCCTCCCTGCAGTTTCCCTTTTTGTACATCCCTAGGGCCCTTCCACAACCAGCAGATAGACCAAGCTGTGGTTAAAGACACAAACCCTTTCTTGGGAAGCCTCTTAGGAAACCATTCCTCTGCCCATGAGAACAACCATCCTCATTCCTGTAGGATCCTGATTCAACATCTTTGTTCTGGGAAGCAGGTGACAGAAAGGTGGCGAAAACTGGATTTCCAATGTAGTGAGTCAAATACACAGAACCCAGAAGGACTTTCAAAAGTAAGTAGCAGTATAGGAATCTCATCTCTACAGATTTCAGCCAGATTTAGATACTTCAACTGTATACATAATTTTGAAATGCTCGGTGGGTCCCTATCTATAAATTTAAGTGTCCATATTTTGGTAGAAAGTTGTCCTGAAAAGCTTTGTTTGATTTCATGCTGGGTTCCACCTTATTATCACCTCTTATTTGATTTGTAAGCCTAGCTGAATGCTATGTAAAATTACTTGGCTGCATTTGCATTTTCCAATTCTAAAGAAAGATGGATAACCTCTGCATTATAATGCACACAGCAAATGTCTGGCCTATAGGAACTGGCCCCTGGGTCAGTTAAAAGTAGATTCATCATTCTGTGTTTCTACCAAAAGACCATCTATTTTCTTCATTTTAATCTAGTTAGTAAGAGAACTTTGCCAGCGGTATTCTCGCCTAATATACACGCTGCATTTTAAAAGTTAAAATACTGGACACCATCATAAATATATAGGTTTGCTTCTTTCTTTGTCTCATTTATGAAATATTTGTCCTACAGCACATGCACTGATAGTGCAGGACAAGCCACATGTCACAAATGTAAACTTTCTTTTTAAATAAGCAAGCAAGTTTCTTTTTGACTGAAAAATACCTCAGACCTAACAAAACGGGGTTTGTGGCCATTTTTTTGTAGAGCCACTGGGATTGCAATTAGCAACTATTTTAGTGTTAGCTTATTACATGCTTTCTCATTGTTGCTGTAAACAGTTCTGTCACATCTGGACAGATGAAAGTAAAGATCAAAAATCAAGTCCCAGTTAAAAAAAAGGTCTGTTGGCACAAGCACTCTTTGCCTAAAAAGTGATAATGGATAATGAACTGAAGGTGCTTCAAAAACTGTAGACTTTCACATAAGACAACATGTAAGACAACATGATAGGACCTGCATTGAAGAAATTCACATTCTAAACAGGACTTTCTATATTAGTGATGAAAATGAACCTAAGATACATAAAGAATAGCTTAGAAGATATCATAAATGCTTAACAGGAGCATCAAGGCTGACAAACCCAGAAGCATATAGGCTACCCAATGTTTTCCCTATGCTGACTGACAGGGACTATTGTGTCAAAGCACACCAAGATAACAGCAAACTGTCTGTATTTAAGATATACTTTTGCAGTTTGATGACATACACCAGGGCTGGTAACTTCCAGACCAGTTTCATGAGGCAGCCTTTTAACTTGGGTGCCATTATGTCATCCTACAGAACAGAAGTCTCCACACGCAGGCTCTACGACTGGGTCAGCAACCTGAAGGAGATGAGTCCCTGCAAATGGAGGGAAAAGGTGCACAGATGGAACAAGAGTATAATTGCACTGAGTATGACACTTCTTTTTCTTTCTTTCTTTCCCTTTCTTTCCCTGTTAAAAGAACAAGTTTAAATGTCACATCACTGGCTGAAAAATGAACATAATCTGAAGAACTATGTTCTGTTCCATAAAATGCAAATTTCAAAAATGAAAATCATAGGTGGTTTTATTTTTAGCCAAGAAGAGATAAGAAAATGTTTAAGTCAGAATTTAACTGCATAGTCTTTGTCCGAGGGAAGAAAAAACCCCAAAACCTCACTGAATGTAGCAGGGTTCATGAAAATGACAGACTGACAGCTCTGAAAAGTGAAGTCTTTTATGCACTGGTACAACATTGGAAGAAGCTGTATTGCTTTTCCCATAATGTTCTGCCATCACACATTGTGATGAAGGTAACTCAGTCTTCTACCCGATTACCCAGTTCACAACCTGGGAATTGCTGAAAGGTGTCAGGGAGGGACTGCTTGTGAATTACCTGTACTTCTTTGAACTTAGCTGGAAAGAAAAGGGATAGGGAGACACAAAAATTCAGGTACTTATTTCTGTTGTAACATTCAACCATAGTACAAAGACAGCCGTCCTTGCTACTCGCTAAATTTAACCGAGCCCAAAAAAAAATCACAAACTGTTGCTTCTCCTGAAACCAGAACCAAATCTGTACTGTTGTATTGTAATCTTTGAGCCATCCAAAATGGAACTCACTAAAAACTATGCTTTCCAATCCCCAGTTCAAAATAACCATTTAACGAAAAGCTGATAGTCCTGTGAAGGGTTTACTCAGCCAATCCGGGAAGTTTGCCCTTCAAACCAGAACCACACCGTAGCCTCCCTGTACTTGTTTTTTTTCCATTTCTTCCTTGCTACAGGGCTCATCCATGCATGATGTTCAGACACTTCACCTTCCACTGTGACCCTGTGCTGTGCTGTCTGGTGTTACTCTCCATACTGAGGGAAAACAGCTCAGGCACAGGAACTTCACAACTTACGGAGCCAAACTTTAATTTTAACTCCTAATAGAAGATCACCAACTCATTTTTTTCTCCTTGATTTGTCATTTTAGATATTTCACAGCAGATGTCGAGTGAATTTGTCTTTCAACCACACATTGCATCCCATCAGTCTAGCTCCCCCAGCAACCTACCGGTGTCCTTTGCCATAAAAGATTAATTTGTGCTGTATTTTTGTAGTTCTGCTTTGACTGTGAAGAATTTACTACAGGTCTTTAATAATTCTCACCCACAATTTCATTTACTGTCCTTTCACAGACTGACTTTTCTCATGTTCCTTAATGCATGACAGGACATAAGTGTGCCTGATGCAGCCAACTGGAGACAAGCTATGGTGGGAAATACTAGGGACATGGCATGTAATCCTCTCCCCAGCTTCCATGTCTCCCTGTGAGGTGATCTCAGTCATGCCTGAAGTGCTGGCCTTTAAACCCGCTGGCCTTTAAAGCCCCAGCCCTGAACGAGAGTTGGCATATGGATGATGCCCACAGTCAGAACCCTCCTGATTGGTTTTCACCCAGGGTCTGGCCAGCCTTGGGTGGGCACTGATTAGGAGATCACCACCAGGAGCCCACAGCCTCCACATTAGCTTGGAGGCGGGGCAAGAAGCCACCTCTATAAAAACTGACTGCCTGCAGTGCAGTTGGGAGGCCTGTCTACAAAGTCTATGTGCTGTGTGGGGGTTCTGGTTGTTGGAAAGGCTTTTGGACTGTGTATAGCAAGTGGAGTTCCCAGAACAGTGAGGAGAAAGATGAGTCTGAACTCATGGCCTGGTTGATTCCATCTCCCATGGCTTGGCTCCTTGGTCAGCTCGCTCTCCACATCCTATGCAGTGAGTGAGTGCATTTATTTATTCTTCCCTCCAGTGGTTCGGCACCTTGGTTCTCTGGTGTATGATGTAAGAGCAGAGGGAGGAATTTGGCTGTTAGTTTGCCTGATAATGATAATAATAATAATATCTATGATGGGCAAGGGGTCAGCAAAAGAATGCAATTGTTTCCACCTCCAGATGTGGAGATGAAATAACTCCAGCATCCTGGGATTACTAAAAGAAAGGCTAATGGATTATTTTTTGTCTGATCCAGAGCAATCGTCATTGAATCAGAAGTGATTTTAAAGCTGCCATTTCAATCTTTCTGTTCGGTACTTATGCACAGCTATCATGTTTGATTTTTCAGAAATAATAATTATTTGTACGGTACCTGGTTTAGATATGAGACGGGGGGGGAAGAGAAGGAACAATATAATGAAGTTCAGACATCTGATCTTTGACAGATGCAAGAATTCAACCAGATTCTTCAGCCCAAAATTCAATCCATTGTTCCCAATGCCATCTGCCCATTCCTCCCTAAGCCTACCTTCTCTAGGGTAAAAGTTAGTTTTTCAGTATCATTACAGTGAGTTTTTTGTGTTGCTTTTTTCCCTTCCTACAGTCCCACTGAGATTTTTCACTTGTAACTGAAAATGGAATGCCTTAAAATATTTGGATTACTGTCTGAATAGTTATTATTACAAATAGTTCTAATAGCTGTCAATATTATCTACAAAGATATTTTTAAGATTATCATCTAGACCCAAGAATTTTTTTGTTCTCTGGGAAGATAATACAGGAAAAATTAGCAGAAATCTCTTCATTTTATAGTGTTTTGCTTGTAACAAGTCATCTGGCATAAAAATACTAGGAAAGCTGTGTAACAGCAGTTATGGTAGGGCTTTTTGCTTCTCAGTTTTTAAGCTCTAGTTCAAGCATGAATTTCCTTGGCAGCCATTATCAATAAACAAGTGGTAGACTTATGTCCTACCACACAACTAGCCTCATTGCAAAACACATCATTGGAATGGATAATGTGGATATCTCATGAAAAAGGGAGAGAAAACACAGACAGTGAAACTGAACAACTTCTCCAAGTGTATATTGGGATCCTATATGCTAAGGTTAAGAATGGTCATGTTGACCGACCTTATATTCAGTGCTCAAGAAGGCCCACAAAAAGGGGAGAGGGAGGATGCTAAGCCTTATATCAACATCTGCCAATCCTCTGTTAATTGTCAGCTGTCTTCCTACAACCTTCCTGTGATGACCACATAGTGTTTG